GGAAAGGACATTTTTGGGTGGGAGGGGGCAGAGGGAGGAGGGAGGGAGGTTTTGGTTATGGGTCATAATAATCAACCACATTGTATATTGACAAAATTAAAAAAATAAAATAAAATTAAAATAAAAAAATAGTAATACAACAAAGGTAGGAATCAATTCGAAAGCTATAGATCCCTCTCCCCCCAAAATTTCTATATGCTCAAAAAAGAAATTCCTTAAATCTAATCCCTTAATTAATTTCTTAATCTAAATTCCTCAAATCTAATAACAATTGGATTACTGAGGCAATTAAAATGCAAAATATCAACTAGAATCAAATGACAGTGGAAATACGGTATATCAAAATGTATGGGATATAGCCAAAGTCTTCCTTGGAGGAAAATAATAGCTTAAATGCTTAAACACATTGAGGGTACTAAAAGAAAAGAGCTTGAACATGAACAAAACAAGCTTTCCACTCAAGAAATTAGGAAAAGTTTGCAAAATAAGCCAAAGAAAAAAGGTAAGGAATTAAGAAAAGTAAAAGCAGAAATGGATGAAATGTAAAACAAAACTAGAGTTAACCAATAAAACCTAAAGCTTATTCTTTGGAAATGCCAATGAAATAGACAAACTTTTTGCAAGTGTGATCAAGGAAAAACAAGGTAACATAAAAAACAAAAAGACAGGGGAGACCAGCATGTAAGATAAAAGAAGAGCTGGTGTGGTTTAAGCAGAGGGTCTGTCCCATGTTAGATGCTCAGTAAATGTATATTGAGGGAAGATGGACTTACTGACTGCTCCCCAGCTGCCTCTCCCTCCCCTCCTCATGATGCAGGCACTGCCTCCTGCCATAGAAGCTGAAACTGTCAGGTATTCACTTTTCCAGATTGCCTTGCAGCTACAGGGGCCATGGGACCAATTTGGGCCAGTGAAGGAAGGAGAGAGCTTAAAGTCCTGCCCACTGACTCCACCCCACTTGAGGGGAAACTAAGAGTTTGAAACCTATTCCCTAAATCAGTGACCTCCAAAGTGAGGTTTCCAGGCTATGGCACAGCTAGGAGGTGAGGGCAGATTTGAGCTTATCCTGGGCTCAACTCTCTCCAGCACAGAAAAAAGAAATGGTGTCCGTATTCTCACCCCCACCCATACTCACCCAAGTTCACATTAGAGTCAGTGACATATATAGGGCTAGAATCTAGGTATACCAGAATTTCTCTTCAGTGGCTAGTCAGAGAGACTGGAAACAACACAAATAACCAAGAGACAGAGAAGACTAATACATAAGATCAAAGAGAAACTGGGATATGTAGGAGTAGCTGACATGGATAGGAGATTATTTTTCTCACACATAAGAAATGCTCAGAAGCAGATTGTTCAGAGCTGGAATGGGGGCCCCACAGTGTCATCAGGGACTTAGCTCTTTCTGTCTTTCTGCTGCATCATCCTTAAAGGCTTCCATCCTCTGGACCACTTTGTGGCCCAAGATGGCTGCTGGAGCTGCTGCTGCCTCATCCATGCTCCAGGCAGGAAGCAGAAAGAAAGAGAAAAAAGGCAAATGACCCCAAGCCAGTTTATGGACTGTGCCCTTTTGAGGAACTTTCCCCAGAATCCCATTCAAGGACTCCCTCTTACAACTGATTGGCCAGCTCTTAGTCACATGACCACCCCAGCTGCAAGGGAGGCTGGGAAGTGCCCTTTGGGGAAGGGGGAAGGTATATTGTTGCCCCAAATAACATCAGGGTTCTGGTGTGAAGGAAGACAGAGAAACTGGCTCCTGGGTGGGCAGCTGGCAGGCTTGACCATGCCAGGCCTTGGAATTCCTACCCCCTCAGCTGAACAAAGTGGTCTTTCTCACCTAAGCCCAAGGCGTAAGCACCACAGCCATGGTGGCAAGGTTTGAGAAAGACAGGGGAACAGCAGGTCCCAACCGGGATTGTGTGAGGTCGGGGCTTGCTGTGTGCCATTGGTGCAGAATGAGGCCAGCAGGAGGGGATAGGGAGGGAAGGAAGGAGGGGACAGCTCAGGTTTCTAGGTCAAGCCAGATCTTGTATCCTCAGGGCGTGGAGGCTCAGATGTCCCCAGAACCAAGTGTCCTATCCCTCTGGGCAGCTCTGGGCCTTTCCACTGAATCCTCCCAAGCAGTCCAATCTCCTTCTTTAACATTCTAGGAAAAAACAACAATAACCACAAAAGAATAGTAGCTCCTACATCTTGAGCAACGGTTTAGTACTTTTTCATGCACAATCTCAATGAATTCCTACAACAACACTTATGAGCAGTTACTGCCAGTTTCCCTATTCTACAGGTGAGGAAATGGAGGCCCAGAGAGCTGAAAACCTTGCTCCGAGTCCAGCAGTTCCCACAGCTGCTGGGTGGAGGCACTGGTCGGTGGGTCCTCTTCCTTCTTCAGCAGAGCAGAGTGATCAGAGTGATCAGACAGAGCTGAGTTGGCCACTTTTAGCTGGGGGACCGTGGGCACATTGCTTTTCCTCACCTGTCAAGTGGAGATAATAATAGTGCCCAGCTCCTAGGATTGTTGAAAAGAGTAAATGAGTTAGTACAAGTAAGGAACCTGGCACGTACATCTCAATAAATGCTTATGACCCACACTTAGGTGTTAGTTTTCGGCAACAGGCAGATGGAAAAATCAAAGGTGACACTGTTCTGCAGTGCCTTCTTCCTGGGGGATTTAATTAACCATACTGCAGAGGTTTGCTTCATTCTGTGTAATACATGATGCTCTTGAATTGTAATTGCTGAGAATGGCTTACAAGAAATAATAACAATGTGTGTCAGCTTTCCAAATCATGACACTAACCATCGCAGATGCCGCGGGAGGTGCTCTTAGCACAGACTCTCTGACTTGCTGCTCAAAGCCTCCCCGGGAAATGGGGCTGTATTTCCCAAATCTCCCAGCTGTTTATTAAAAATACACATCCCAGGCCCCTGCATCTCCAGGGAGGGAACCTGGAAGCTGTATTTTAACAAATACTCTGGGTGATTTTTGTTAGCTAGGAAATTGAGGAAGTTTCTCTTAGGTCAGTAATGTGGGGGACCCACAATCAGAGACTGAGCAAGAAAAGGAATACACAAAGAGGAGGTGATTTGCCGAAAGTTACTCAGCCGGGAAGGGGCAGGGCCAG